TTTGCCTCTTATTAAGTTCTGTAGTCCAATGACTGGCAGAATTCATTTTAGAAGACACATATTGATGAGGAGTGGACTGGGACTGATGGATATAGAGCTGGTCCTGTACACCATGGGCTACAGCATTCATGTAAGATTGAAATGATTCTATAAATGTATTATTCATAGTCACCTATAACAGAAAGGATAGATATTAATTGATAAAATACATATCAAGTACTTACCAGTAGTTCCAGGTATTCATTAGTGCTATTATCCATTACTAGTGGATCAACTGCTGATACTGGAGCTAATAAATGAACCAGGCCTTCACCAATAGCTACTCTAGCAGTCTCTACTGCTTCTCTTGTCCCTCTACCACTGGATTCTAAAGCTACTGATGCTGATGATAATAAAGTAAAAAAGTGGCCCCAAGCAAGTCCAGAGATTTCATTCCTCTCCAATAATGAGAGGAAGAGTTCTGATACAGCTGTAGTTCTGTTAGTTAGGCTATGAGTTGTATCAGTAAGCACTGTATCGATATCAAACTGATCCTTAATGACTGACTGAAGGGATAGTAGTATCCTATTCAACACATCTTTAAGCACTTGAAACTCTTGTTCGCTATTAAAAGAGAAAAAATAATATCATTAATCAAAATTACTCTGCCATTGTAAATTCATGCTCTTATGCTAACCATTTTGTGCTCTGAGATTTTTCAGTAAAACACTTCATAAACAGGAACTGCAGTAATACGTGCAATTCAGAGCATTTCTTATCAAAATTCTGAACAGTGATTGAAGTGCTAGACCCATCACCAGGAAACTCCTCATCATTAGAAAAGAGGAGAGAGAAGGTTAGATCCGATAATGATTTGCTCAAAATAGAGAAAGATGATAATGAAAGATTTGTGTCAGTAGAAAGCAGCTCTAACCATTCAGTAAAATTCTACCAAAAGTAAAAGTGACATTAATAATTGATTTAGATTTAATCAAACCAGGTTAATTATTTATAAGTTTCATTAATACCAACATTATTAAATACTTTACCTTCATTGGTTTAGCTTCATCAGTGGCATGAGGGATACATAGGAGTGAATGCAGTGACCACTGTGGTACCCGAAGACAATATCTTATAAATGACCTTTTCTTCTCTGCTAATAGTCCAGCATCATAGCTGGTAGAGACTGCAAGGAATAGATCAGGTATTGCATTTAAACCTAGTCTCACAACATCAGGGACAAGACTTGAGGAAGAGGGTTGACTTTTAGATGTACTAGTCAAAAGTTCCTCTAATTTCAAGCAAGCTTCTTTATCTTGTTCTTCATTATTGCTACCATTGTGATGATACTCTGTCATTAGCTGGAGGATAGAGCTACGATTAGTAGTATCATCAAGGATATGAAGAGGAGGAGATGATGATTGTTGTTTATTGTTAGCAGATAAAAGAAGATCCTAATGCATAAAATAAAATAAAATAATCACTAATAGTGGATGCACGCATGTGTGTGTACTAAAGGATGAAGATTAAAATTTAATTCTATGCTTGAAAATATCAAAAAATAGAATGAGCAGCTATCACTTTCACCATTTCTTTCTTCCTTTCCTCTTACCATCAAATTAATTTGCATGAGTGAAGCAGGAGGTAATGGTGAACCTAGTCCCTTTCTGAACAACTGAATACAGTGAGCATCTACTGAGTTTAACTGATCCAATACAGCACAAGACTCAAGAAGACTGGCAACACTAAGAGAAATAAATACTTCTCTACTTTATATGAAATATTATTATACTTGTTGCTTGGTTCATATTCTGCAAAGGTGATTTTCTTTAGTAGCGACCAGCTAACAGCAAGCTTTGGGACAGACCAGTCAGGAGTGTGACAAGTGAATACAAATAATCTCAAGCAATCAATAGCTCTATCTGACTATAGGGAGGAGGTGAATCATATAAAATGAATCATTACACAGTAGTTTTTTTACCAGTATTTTATTACTATGCTGCAATTCAGTCAAAAACGTATCTAAAAACTCTTTTAGCTTTAATATAGTCTTCCTATCAATCACAGACCCACCTGATTGACATAAAACAGGTCAAGAAAAAGACTCAACATTATCAGAC